TCCTACCCCCCTCTTTTTTCTCCTTCTCCTCCTCCTGCTCCTCTGTTCCTCCTTCTCCTCCTCCTCCTCATGTCTCCTGTTGTTTTCTCTCTCGCCCCCCCCCCCCGCCCTCCACCCCCCTCTCTCAAAAATTATCCTGGCGAAAGACCCAACCATAAGCAATTGTTGGTAACGCGTTGTGGGTGCCGCTTTCGGTGGGGCTCCATATGGGGCCACGAAGCGCTGCCTTGGATGGGGGAACCGCATGCGGACTGCGCCACCGGGGCGGGCCTTCGGTGGAGCTCCCTATGGGGCTGCGAAACGCTGCCCTGGGTGGGGGAACCGCATGCGAACTGCGCCACTGGGGCCTTCGGTGGAGCTCCCTATGGTGCCACGAAACGCTGCCCTGGGTGGGGGAAGCGCATGCGAACTGCGCCACGGGGGCTTTCGGTGGAGCTCCCCATGGGGCCACGAAGCGCTGCCCTGGGTGGGGGAACCGCATGCGAGAGCAGCCACTGGGGCCTCCGGTGGAGCTCCCTATGGGGCCACGAAACGCTGCCCTGGGTGGGGGAACCGCATGCGAACACCCCCACTGGGGCCTTCGGTGGAGCTCCCTATGGGGCTACGAAACGCTGCCCTGGGTGGGGGAACCGCATGCGAACACCCCCACTGGGGCCTTCGGTGGAGCTCCCTATGGGGCCACGAAACGCTGCCCTGGGTGGGGGAACCGCATGCGAACACCCCCACTGGGGCCTTCGGTGGAGCTCCCTATGGGGCTACGAAACGCTGCCCTGGGTGGGGGAACCGCATGCGAACACCCCCACTGGGGCCTTCGGTGGAGCTCCCTATGGGGCCACGAAACGCTGCCCTGGGTGGGGGAACCGCATGCGAACACCCCCACTGGGGCCTTCGGTGGAGCTCCCTATGGGGCTACGAAACGCTGCCCTGGGTGGGGGAACCGCATGCGAACACCCCCACTGGGGCCTTCGGTGGAGCTCCCTATGGGGCCACGAAACGCTGCCCTGGGTGGGGGAACCGCATGCGAACACCCCCACTGGGGCCTTCGGTGGAGCTCCCTATGGGGCTACGAAACGCTGCCCTGGGTGGGGGAACCGCATGCGAACACCCCCACTGGGGCCTTCGGTGGAGCTCCCTATGGGGCCACGAAACGCTGCCCTGGGTGGGGGAACCGCATGCGAACACCCCCACTGGGGCCTTCGGTGGAGCTCCCTATGGGGCCACGAAACGCTGCCCTGGGTGGGGGAACCGCATGCGAACACCCCCACTGGGGCCTTCGGTGGAGCTCCCTATGGGGCTACGAAACGCTGCCCTGGGTGGGGGAACCGCATGCGAACACCCCCACTGGGGCCTTCGGTGGAGCTCCCTATGGGGCCACGAAACGCTGCCCTGGGTGGGGGAACCGCATGCGAACACCCCCACTGGGGCCTTCGGTGGAGCTCCCTATGGGGCCACGAAACGCTGCCCTGGGTGGGGGAACCGCATGCGAACACCCCCACTGGGGCCTTCGGTGGAGCTCCCTATGGGGCTACGAAACGCTGCCCTGGGTGGGGGAACCGCATGCGAACACCCCCACTGGGGCCTTCGGTGGAGCTCCCTATGGGGCTACGAAACGCTGCCCTGGGTGGGGGAACCGCATGCGAACACCCCCACTGGGGCCTTCGGTGGAGCTCCCTATGGGGCCACGAAACGCTGCCCTGGGTGGGGGAACCGCATGCGAACACCCCCACTGGGGCCTTCGGTGGAGCTCCCTATGGGGCCACGAAACGCTGCCCTGGGTGGGGGAACCGCATGCGAACACCCCCACTGGGGCCTTCGGTGGAGCTCCCTATGGGGCTACGAAACGCGTGAGAGGTGTGCCGAGAGCAGAGGCAAGGAGGGGGAGGAGGGGGAGAGGAGGAGGAAGGAGGAACGCGGGGCACCGTCTCTTCAAAACGAGGACCCAACACCACAGGATGGTTGGGAAAAAAAAACATGCATCGCAACAGAATTGGTATTTTGGGGGAGAGGGGAGCAACATCTTTTGTGGTGCTTTCCAATGAAGTCGCTTTGTGCGGATTTCCAATAACATCCTTGTCGGGTGCTTTCCAATAGGTTCCTGTTGAGAAGCGTTCCAATCGTCGCACTGTGGTGCTTTTCAAAGGATTCTTACTGTGAGGATTTCCTATATGAGCACCTGTGGTGTTTCCACAGGGTTCCCACTGTCACGGTTTCCAATATAATGCCGTTGTTGTGCTTTCCAAATGATCCCTGTTGTCAGGCTTTCCAATCGAATCTTTTTGTGGTGCTTTCCAACGTATTCCGGTTGTGAAGAGAATCTTTGTGTTTTCCAACAGGTTCCTTTGTGATGCTTCCTTGTGGGATCTCTTTGTGGTGCTTTCCAGCGGATTCCTCTTGTGATGCTTTGCAATAGAATCTCTTTGCGGCGCGTTCCAAACTATTCCCACTGCGAGGAATTCCTGTAGAATTCCGCTGTGGTGCTTTCTAGAAGATCCTCGTTGCGAGGCTTTCCAATATAATCTCTGTGTGGTGCTTTCCAGAGGAGTCCTGTCGTGAGGCTCTCCAATCGAATTTATTCGCGGCGCTATGTGAAGAATTCCTGTTGTGAGGCTTCCCAATTGAATCCCTCTGTGATGATTCCGATGGGTTCTCTTTTGTGCAGCTTTTCAAGTAGGAGCCCCCAGTGGTGCGTTCAAACAAACTTTCCGATGGGAGGCCGATTTTGTGGGTGTTTTCCATCGGATTCCTTTTGTGACGCTTCCCTGTGAGATTTCCTTGTGGTGCTTTCCTTTTTTGTGGGATGATTAGCCTTGTGGTCCTATTTTGCCGATTGGCCAGAATCCGTTGGAAAACACCACACAAGCTTTCCGATGTGAGGCTTTCCAATCGAATCCCTCTGTGGTGCTTCCCAAGGGGTTCCCACTGTGACGGTTCCCAATCAAATGCCGTTGTGGTGCTTTCCAAATGATTCCTGTTGTGCGGTTTCCAGCAGAATCTCTGCGTGGTGCTTTCCAATGTATTCCGATTTGGGGGCTTTCCAATAGGATTTCTTTGTGGTGTTTTCCGAAGGATTCTTTTCGTGCTGCTTCCCACTGGAATCTCCTGGTGGTGCTGACCAATGGATTCCTGTTGTCATGCTTTCCAAAGGATTTGCACTCTGCGGGTTTTCCGTAAAATCCTGTTGCGGCGCGTTCCAAATGATCTTCGTTGCGAGGCTTTTCGATCGAATCTCTGTGTGGTGTTTTCCAAAGGAGACTTGTCGTGGGGCTTTCCAATAGAAGCCCTCCGCGGCGCTATCCAAGAATTCATGTTGTGAGGCTTCCTGATTGAATATCTTTGCGGTGTTTTCTAAAGTTTTTGTTTTGTGCGGCTTCCCAACAAAAGCCCTCAATGATGCCTTCAAGAAGGTTTCCTGGTGTGAAACTTTCCCATGTAATCCCTCTGTTGTGCTTTCCGATGGATTCCTTTTTTTGTGGCTTCCCAATAGGAACCCCTCAATTCAATCGAATCCCTGCGGTGCTTTCCGCATAACCCCCTTAGTGGTACTTTCCAAAAGGAGCCCGTTGTAGCGTTTTCCACAGGATTCCTCTTGATATGTTTTCCAGTAGGAGCCCTTCGTGTTGCGTTCCAAAGGATTTCTCTTGGGAAGCTTTCCGATACATACCTTGTGGTGTTTTCCAAAAGGATTCCTGTTGCGATGCGCTCCGATATAATCTATGTTGTTGCGCGGTTCAAAGGATGTTTATTCCGAGGTCGTCCGGTAAAAACGATTCGATTCCTTGCCAAAAGGTTCCACTTGTTTGTTCCCGCAAAATTCGTCTGGGGCGCTTTCCACAGGATTCCAACTATGATTGTTTCGTACTGAATGGTTGCTGCTAGATAGCGCTTTCCAAATTATCCCTGTTGTGAGGCCATACAATGGAATTCCTGCGTAGCAGATCGCACTCGCACAGGGTTTCCAGCCCGAGGCTGTCCAATCGAATATTTGGTGTTGTCCAGAAAGGCTTCCTCCTGTGATGCTTCCCAATACAAGCCCTCAACAATAATTTCTAAACGGTTTCGTCTACGACGCGTCCCAATCGAATCCTTGATTGTAATGGTTCCGGGCGGATTCCTGATGCGAGGCCATAGAATCCATGTGGGGTGATTTCCGAAGGATTCCTGTTGTGGGCGCTCCAGTGCAACCTTGTTTTGTGCTGTTCAAAGGATCTCTGTTGTGAAGCCTTCCGATACAATCTTTTAGATTCCTGTCCAAGGATTCCAAGTGTAAAGTTTCCCCACAGAGTCCCTCTGAAGCGCTTTCCACAAGGATTCCTAATATGATTGTGTCTAACAGAATGTAGAATTCCGAGTGCGAGGTTTTCCAATCGACTCCCTTTGTGGCGCTTTCCAAATGATCCCTGATGTGAGGCTCTCAATCGAATCTCTCTGCGGCGCTCCTCAACAGATTATTGTTGTGATGCTTTCCAATAGAAGCCCTCAGCCGTGCTTTCCAAGCGGCACTGGTCATGATTCCTAGCGGATTCCTGTTGCAAGGACATAGAATATCTTTGCTTCGCTTTCCAGAGGGATTCGCTTGTGATGCTTAAGGAAGGAGATGCATATAATGTGTATGCGTGAGAGAGAGAGAGTGAGAGAGAGAGAGATAAAAAGAGAGAGAGAGAGAGGCACAGGCAGAAAGCGAGAGGAAATATGAGGATAATGATGAAGACAAGGCTGACATCTCGTAAAAACTCTTCTGGCACACCGAGGGGCTCCAAAATCCCCCGGCCTCGCGGAGGAAGAGTCGGAGGGGAAGGAGGGGGAGGAATACGAATGGGGGGGGAGGAGGACGAGGAGGAGGACGAGGAGGAGGAGGAGGACGAGACAGAGGACAGGAGGGAGACACCGACGACGCCGACGCCGACACCGCCGCCCGCCTCCGCCGCCGACGACAACGACCACGACAACGACGGTCGACCGACGTCGCCACCGCCGCCGCCGCCGACGACGGGTGGGCCCACCTTTGCCGCTGGCCGCAGCCTGTCGGACGCGGCGCCGGGTGCGCGGCGCCGGCTGGGTCGTGCTTCGCCCCGCGGGTTGGCCGCGGCGCGCTCGGCCTTGGCCGCGTCCAGCTGCTGCGCCCAGTCCTCCTCCCACTCGTCGACGTCCTTCCGCCCAGTCGCGGAAGTCATTGACGTCGTCGTGGTCGTTCTCGTCCAGGTCGTCGTCGTTGCCCAAGTCGTCGTCGAAGTCGGCGTCAGCATCGTCGCCGTCCTCCTCCCCTGCTCCCACTCCTCCCTTCAGCCTCCTGGGCACCTCCTCCTCGTCCCTCCTCCTCCTCCTCCTCCCTCCTTCTCCTCCCTCTCCTCCTTCTCCTCCTCCTCCTCCACCTCCTTCTACCTCCTCCTCCTCCTCCTCCGCAGCAGCAGAAGCAGTACGCGCTGCCGCGCGAGCCCTTCTTTCTTCTTCTTCTTCTACTCCTCCTGCTCCTCCTCCTCCTCCTCCTCCTCCTCCTCCTCCTCCTCTCCTCGCGCGCGCACTGCATTACACGCGTGAAGGAGGATGAGAAGGAGTAGGAGGAAGAGGAGGAGGAGAAGGTGGAGGCTCTTTGAGCCGATGGGAAGGCCGTCGCCGCCAAGGCTGGACTCGCTCCGAATTCGTGGCGGATTTTTTTCTGGGGGGGGGGGTAATGAAGCAGGGGGGAAAGGCAGGACGGATGAGTGAGGGAGGGAGGAGGTAGGCCCGACGTGGAGGATGAGGAGGAGGAGGAGGAGGAGGAGGAGGAGGAGGAGGAAGAGTATGAAGCTAACAGATGGGGCGAGGGAAGTGCGAATGACCGAACTCTGGGGGCGGAGACCTAGACACGCTGCTTCAAAGATCAGGGTTGTCCATAGGCTGGTTCAATGGTCCGTGCTTACATCTCACGGCGTGCTGACTATATGCCTGCGAACACTCCTCCCGCATCCTTCCCCTCCCCTCCTCCTCCTCCTCCTCCTCCTCCTCCGCCTGTGCCTCCTTCCCATATTAACCCTCCCCTCTCCCTCCCCCTCCTTCCCTGTCATACCTAAAGCCGGCTCCATCACCCTCCCCCTCCCCCTACCTCTCCTCTCTTCCTCCCCCTCGTCAGTCTTCCTGCCCCTCCGCCTCCTCTCCCCGCCCCCCTGTTACCCTCCGCTCTCCCTCCCTTCTCCCCCCTGTTCCCCTCCCATCGCTCTCTCCTCGCGCTTTCCTTGACCCCAGAAGGAGGAGGGGGTGCGAAGGCGGAGGCGGATGAGGAGGATGAAGAGTGTCGAGGGGGGCACGATCAGGAGGGACAAGGCATGGCGAGGAGGACCGAGGAGCGGGAGGACGACGGAGGGGGCGCGAGAACTGGGATGCGGGGGGGGACGGGGGGGAGCGGGAAGAGGCATGCTGAAGGGTCCCGATGCGGAGGAAGAGGGTGATGCTGAGGATGAGGGTGATGATGCTGCTGCTGATGATGATGCTGATGATGATGATTTTCCTGATGATGATGATGATGATGCTGGTAATGATGATGATGCTGCTGCTGATGATGATGATGATGATGACGATGGTGATGATGATGATAATACGGATGATGATGCTGACGATGATGGTGGTGATGCTGATTGTGGTGATGATGACGACGATGGTGCCGATGCTGATGAGGATGCTGCTGCTGATGATGGTGATGATGATGATGATGCTGGTGATGATGACGACGATGATGATGATGGTGATGATGAGGACGACAATGGTGGTGATGATGATGATGGCGAGATGATGATGATGATGATGATGATGATGATGATGATCATGATGCTGTTGATGATGATGCAAACGATGCTGATGATGATGATGATGATGATGATGCTGATGATGATGATGATGATGATGATGATGATGATGATGATACGGATGATGGTGACGATGGTGAGATGGTGATGATGCTGATGGTGATGATTGTGATGAAGGTCATGATGGAACGTCGGAGAGAAGGAGAGGTATGGTGTGGAACGATGAGGGGGGACAAGGAGACAGGGCAGAAGGGATGCTGGTGATGCTGATGATGACGGTGCTCGGATCAGATCAGATCAGGACCAACTGGGGGCTGCAAGCGTTTCTCATCCAACGAATGCCACTGGGATCGGGCTACGCCCGAGCGTCAGTCTGCGATGCGTGGCGCACGGGCCTCCGCGGCTCGCTTCGCGCCGACGGGGCGCCTCCGCCGCCGCGCGTGCGCCCCAAACATCTGAGAGCCGCGCCCGCGCCCGGACGAGCTCCGCACTCGGAAGGGAAGCCCTGCGAGGGCTGCGAGGGCTAGGGCTCCACCCGGCACTGGCCCACTCCCCTCGCTGTCGGTTCACTGTTGGTAGAGGTGTGCCCCCCGAGGCCTCTGGCCCTGCGGTGGTGGTTCGAAGCCCCTACAGTCGGGGCGTTGACCTAAGGAACCCTAAATAAGGAACGAGGCCCCCCTTTTTTTCCATAAGTTAACCTTCGATTTCCGGTCGAAAGCATAAGGAAAGCCTGAGGCAAGCTGTGAAACACTTAAGGAACGCGGAGCCCCTCCCCAACGAAAAGGGTTCCTTGTTCAGGGCCCCGACTGTAGGATTAGGTCGGGCATGTCCCCCTTACGGACGGAGGTTGGACGAAACATGAAGCATACGCCAAACAAGTATCCAAAAGTGGCACAAAGACTTCTCAAAACATCGCCCCCGGACCATTTTTCCTATTTTTGAGGGACAGGCCCGACTCAGCCCCAGGAGCGACAGAACTCGCAATCCTCAGCCACAGCCACGCATGGCGCCCGCTGGAGCTGGCGCCCGAAGCACGCTCGACTCTGGCCGCGACTCCCGCCGCCTGGTCCGCGGGGCTCGCCCGGGGGGACGGGAGGAAATGGAAGAGGGGATTTTTTTGTTACACGACAAGAGATTGTTCATATTTTGGGGGTTCGGTGTGGAGGAAAGAAAGCTATGGAAAACGCACAATTCAAATCTCATTTCAGAACGGATCGATTGGGGCTTAGCTTTAGCTTAGCTTTAGCTTAGCTTTAGCTTAGCGTTACTGTTACTACTAATGCTGCTTTCCTAGGGGTTCCAACTCCTAGGTAGGGTCGCACTGGGATAATTAATATTTTGGGTCTTCGGTGTGGAGGAAAGAACGCTATGGAAAACGCACAATTCAAATCTCATTTCAGAACGGATTGGGGCGCAGGGAGGCCGCCGGCAGGCGAGGGGACCGGAGCGGAGGCAGGCGCGCGGAGAGTTCCTGGGATCCTGGGCGTCGGAGCGGCGAGCGGGGAGGGGGGTCTGTGGCTCGGGCGCAGCGGCAGCAGGGCGGACCCGCCTCACCGCCAGCTCAAGCCTTCGTGGTTCCCAGCTGGGGTCCTACTGCGTACTGCAGGGGCCCGCCGACACGTCGCTCACTTCCAATCGTGCTCATTTCTCGTTGTGCTCGTTTCTGATTGTTCCTGGACCCCTCGTGGCCAGGAGGAGGCCCAGGATAGAGCAATTAGAAGTGAACGGATCTCGGTCCCTCCCCAAAAAATCAAAGAACATTCGAACACTTAGAAAAGAACAATGTGTATATCCTGCAGCTGTGTTTGAGCAGGGACCGAACGTCCTGGCATTCCTATAGTCCTACCACGAAGTGTTCTTAGAACCCATGCATGTTCTAAGGACAAAACAATGTTCTTAGAACATTCACCCGATGTGATAAAACAAGGCAGACTCCGCCAGAGATGTTCTAAGAACACTTCGCGGAAACCACAAAAGGTTCTGAGAACATTTTTTGGTAGGGCTATCGGCGAACCAGGATGCTTCGCGCGCCCGAGCTCCCCCTTCCGGGGGCAGCTTCGTGGCGGGGGCGATCCACGAAGGGGCGGCATTCCAACCCCCCCAGGCGAAGGAATGCGGCGAATCCCCCCGTAAGCAACGCCCCTGGCCAATGCTGAGAGGAAGTGGAGAGAACAACCCCCCCCTACAGCTGTGTGTGGGCGGACCACCCTCTCGAGCTGCGACGTCGGCTTGGACGCCCGAAAGGGGCACGGGAAAAAGGGGCACACTGCCCAACAACAGATGTTGCCCCAAGCCAACAGCGGCCGCTGTTGGGCAGGCGCCCTTTCTGCCTCAAGCGTACACAGGCCGCGGGGACACCGACAGCGAGTCCTGCTCACAATGAGCAAGAACTGCTGCTAGGCATTGCGCCCATTCTTTCCGTACCCATTTCGGGCGTCCAGAGTCGGGGCCCTCGCCTGCTCGCGCTCCGCCACCGCCCGCACCGGGTGACCCCCCCGCGCTGCACCTCGCGCGCTCGGGGCGCGCGCCGACGACCTCGGACGTGCCTCGCCCTGCCCTCCCCGTGGCGGGCGCTGGCGTTGTCCACCGCGCGAGGTGGGCATTTATCCGTATCCACCGCCTGGGAACCGACGTCCTTAGGGGAACAAGAAGTGGCATAAACATAATAAGAACTCGGAGGTCCGCGCGGATTTCTCGGATCGGCGCTGGGGCCCCCCAGCGGCGCCTCCGGCGCCGCCCCTGGCGCGCTCCGCGCGCCGCCGGGGGTCCCCAGCGCCGATCCGAGAAATCCGCGCGGACCTCCGAGTTTTTATGTTTATGTCACTTTCTGTTCCCCTAGTCCTGGTGCCCCAGCGGGCGCTGCCGCGTGCCGGACGTTCCGCGTGTCCTCCGCCCACGGCCAGGGAAGTTGCGCAGGCTCCTGCAACTGAGTTTGTCGAGCCTGACCATGTCGAGCCCAGATGCGCCGCGTCCGCCCTCCGCCGCGAGCGCCTTGTCGCCCCCCTGCGACCATGACGGGCGCTTCGACCCCTCAGCTCCTCGTCGGCCGGGTGCATTTTCGAGCCCGTCCTCGCCCTCATGTCTGCGGAGTGGCTGCCCCGTCGCTTCCACTCAGCGGTGCGCGCCGCCTGCGCGTCGGCCAGCGTTGCGTGAGCCGTGGCCTTGAGGAGCAACGCGTTCTCCGCGCCGACGCCCTCGATGGCTGCCCGCGCCGTCGCCCGCAACTCACGGCGAGGACGCTGCCGGGACGAGAGCCAAGCCTTGCCAGCTCCCACGCCGCCCACCAAAACTTGAAATCGGTGAGCGTACGAATCAGCGGGAGGCATGCTCGGATGGCCTCCGTCGCCGCGCACGGCACCGCTGTTCCCGAT